ATGGAATAAAAAAAAGCTAGTCAAATTGAGATACAGTTCCGTTTAAAAATTGCCCGGCTTAGAAGACAGCATACTTATATTCAAAAAAAGCTAGATTTGCAATTTCTGTAGAAAAGAAGAAAAAACGTTAAAATTTCAGATTTATGCTAAAAGATAAAGTCATAAGGTCATATAAGTGCGGCCAAAGCCCGTCATTTGTAAATGTAATGTATTCGCCGCGATTCGTACAACAACCAATATGATTGCGATTTAGTTATAAACGATTGTTGATACAACAATCGATATATGATTCAATATTAAAAACCGCGGCGTGCCTCGTTAAAAATATTTCACTTGGCTTGGTCATTTTTTTCGGCGGGATTTGACCTTGTCCTTTGATCTTTTATGAACCTTTATCATTTTCGCAATCTCATTCCTTGTCTTCTATTAGCTACTGTCATCCTTTTTTTGTTTGTGTATACTTATATCTTTTATGTCCTTCGTTTATATTAACCCTGACACACAGTTAACCCTTTAACTTACATTTAACTTCGAAGTTAAAATCCTTAAAAAATAAATCCACGAGTTAATTAAAAATTCTATTTTAGTAGCAATTATTTATTAAAACAGTTTATTTCGGTTATTAATCTTTTTGGAAATTTTAATCCTTTAAATTCTGAAATTAAAAATTCAAATTTAGCATAATTAAGTTAATAACAAAGATATTTATTGTATAATTTAAAATTTAAAATCATGACTTGCTTCAATACTTCACATATCGCAGCTGTTAATTTCAAAAAGTTTAAGATGTATTTAAATCATTTTTAGACTTTAAGAATATATTAAAAAAGAGAAACCCAATATTAACTTATAAACAAATTTTTATGGCTTAAATTTCTAATATATGAGATTTTTGATCCTTCCTTTTAGAGATCCCTGGATTAAATAGATTACACATTTTTGATTTTAAAATATCATTAAAATCTACAAGTTTTACAATTTCTTTTGATCTTAAAAAATACATATATTGTTTTTTTATTAATTTACATTATAAAAATTTTAAAATATTTACTCATTACATAATGCTGTTCAAAATATTAACAAACAGTAAATGAAAAGTTATTTTCAAAATCTGTAATTTCTTAAAAGATTTTTTATTAAAAGAAAATTTTAAATATTTTTCCATTTGTTTATTAATGGAATTTTAAAATTTTAATTCTAAATACAGTCTAAACTTTTAATGTTTAATACTAAATATCACTAAAATATATTTGCGTTTTATTGATTAATTTTACTCTACATAATATTAATAATACTGTATTCTAATAAAATATTAAGACAATAAAGTTTAAAATAAACTAAAAATAAAAGGAGAAAAGAGAAATGAATGAGAAATATATATAAATAAATTTAAAAAAAGAAATAAAAGACAAAAATGATAACGAAATAAGATATTTTCAAAATAAAATTTATGTTTGTACAGGGAGTCTCATAGTACTAATATAATAATAAAATCTTCTTTCACAAAAATCATTGTCAAATAAACCGCGAATATATCATATATTTGATAAATAAAAAATTGGTTATTTGTGAATGGCTATTCTTTGTTGCAAATTTAAGAAATTTTATTTGATATGTTTCACCAACTCGAATCATTTTAAACATGAAACAATATTTGAAAGTTAAGTTAATTAAATTTCTTGTTATTGGTTTGCTACAGAAATCTTCTATTAATAAATATTGTGATAAAAAAAAGACGCGTTACACATGCGATTCTTATAATTCGTTCTTGTACTTTGACGATAGATTTCTCCGGTCAATTTGTATCTCACATATATGGTATGTGAAGAAAGTTAAAGGGTTAACCGACGGCACATATTCTGCGAGGGAATATTTTCCGAAATATGCTCATCAAAAAGTTCGCTTTCAGCTTACAATTTAACGTCGGTCTTCAGAGATCATCCGTTACATTTGGTAATTAGTTTATCCATTAACGCGTATCGTCCAAAGCCAATCTTACAAAAGAATCTTATCGCACGAATCTTTGCCCTTTAAGCCGAGAATTCCGACTTTCAATATTCTTTTAGATTAGGCATCGAAACCGCTATAATTTCGTTGAGTTCTTTCAATGTTTCGTGCCATAGTCTGTCATATGCCATGTGTCATATTTCAGTTAGAATAATATTCTTCAATTTCTTTCTCAGATAACAATAATTCTTATATTTTTTTCATGTAAAAAAACGTAAGAAAAATTATTCCAAGATATTATCTTTATTAAATTGGAAAAAAGTCAATTTACGTCTTTCTACGTTATTCCATGTCATTTCACGTTACAATAAGTTTCTCGTGCGCTCATACCATCAAAATATGAACTCAGCGACATTGTATCGCTTTCGATCCACTATCTAGATTATTTGTTTCGTAGATTATCCACGAATGATCTAGGAATAGTCAAAGATCATTCTCGTGAAAAAGAAACGCATCACATAAAAAGGTGGTAACAGCCCCGAGAACACCCCACGAGGGATTTGCGGAATTTGTACTCTTTGAATGTGTATTAGAGTGTCCCTTATTATTTGAATTGCATTCACACACCAGCCTATATATTGTTTCCTTTATAATAACAAACGAGTCTCTTTAATTTTATTTTCTTCTATAGAATTTTATTATCTTTGATAATACTAATCGCTCCAATTTTCACTTCACTTTATATTTTTTTAGTTATTTTTTGTTCTTTTGTTCAATAACTTTCTTATTTCTAATTGTTTTTTAATCCTTGTTTCTTTTTAGAACAAGTAGATTAATAAAATGCGTTAGAAATTCTGCCGAGCAAAAATCACTCAGGACTTATTTCATTTATTTTTATATCTATAAATAAGGGACACTCTATATTCATGTGTGTATATATATATATAATGAAACATCACTTACGCCGTATTATAGTTATCAATTTACTTTTTTTGCTTTTTATACTTTGCTTTACTCACTTAATTACAGAATAATAATGACTTAACATATACGTGTACATGTGTATGTGTATATCCGTTCATTTGTGTCTGTGTAACTCTGCATTGTAATCTATTAATTAATCGCAATTCATTATTCATCGAAAAATCAGCCGTTTGTCTTTCTTCGTCGTATTCTTTACTTCACTCTCTGTATATATTTTCTCTTCCTTTACATTCTTCTATGTTATGCGATGTCGAGTTTTTTTGCAATTTTTATTTACTTCTTTTTACAAACATGGCGCAGGGCTTGTTTTTTTAATAAGTTTACTTAATGAACTATTTGTATGTTTATTTAAATATTATTCCATGGAAGAAATCCACAATTTAATTTGAAAAATAACTTCATGTTTTACCGAATATAATTTATATAATTTTTAAAATAATTCTAATTTTTATACATAATTTTGTACTATAAAAATAATTTTGTATTTTATGACCTTAACATATTATAATTAATTCCAAATACTGTATATATATATATATATATATATATATATATATTTTATATATATATATATATATATATATATATATATATATAATATATATATTATATAATTTGAATTTTTAACTAAATATACATTTTATGAATAAATTTGTAAATAATTTTATAATATAATAATAATTTTATATTATAATTTATCCGATATATATTACAAATTATTTTAATAAATAACTTTGTCGTTTTGAGTTAAACGGATTGCTTCGTAAATAATTCAAAATTTTCCGATTAATCTCGTAATAAATTTATATAAAATAAATGTTTGGATTAATTTTTATAAAACTATAAATTTGCTCTTTTAGAAATTTACATTATAGTTTTAATTAATTAATTTGAAATATTTTTGTAAATTTCTATTTATTTCTATTCTATTTTATACTATCTCTTTCTTTCTCCCTCTATATATTTTTAGAATTTCCAATTAAAACTTTATTTTAAAAATTTATTACGATATTAACTGACAAATGGAGAATTATTTATGAATCAATCTGCTTAGTTTAAAACAACAAAAATTATTAATTAATAATTAAATTTTTCAAAATATATTTCTAAGAATAAATTTTTAATTTTGTCAAATATTATGAAAATTATTAAATCGAGAAAACGCAGGTTTCAACGATCGAGTCTCGAAATGATCAATCACAACGCCTTATTTTACTCTTTTCTGCGAGAATCCGGACTAAGCCTGCAACAAAACGAAGAACTGGCCTACTGCTTCTGTTCAACATTTCCATTTCCTGTTTAATTTTTTATTTTCTCTCTCTCACACACATACTCTCTCTCTTTCTCTCTCTCTCTCTCTCGCATATTTACGCTTTCTCTCGATAAATTTGTTCTTAAAAATATGTACAATGTTGTTGCGATTCTCCGTTAACTCTTGATAATTTATAACTGTCTCTTATATCTTTTGCATTCTTAAAGTCGTGCTTGTTACATTCTTTTCCGTTTTGTTTTCTTTTAACCCTTTCTTTTCTTATTTTTTATGTTGCCGTCCTTTTTTTGATCCAAGTTAACTCGAAACATTGTTGGTTTTCTTCTTAGTTAACATTTTTTAATTTTTTTTCTCATTTATTTAACTCATTTCAATTATGCTTAGCCTTTTTTCTCTTCTACTTTTCCAATTGATTGTTTTTATTTATTCCTTTTTTCTTTCTGTTTTTTCAATTTCTTTTATTTTTCTTTTAACATCATGTTTTATCATTTTGAAAAATGTACTGCAATCCTTCCTGTCTGCATTCATAACTTTCAAAAAGTATCTTCTTTATTGATCTTCTCTTTGATTTAAAACTTTCTTCTATGATTTTCTTAATGATTGAATGTTTCTATTGTCCTCTCTTTAAGATATCAAATAATTCGCAACATATCCTTTTCTGTCGCTCAATCTGCTCTCTACTTTTCTTACATTTTTGTATTGACAAATGATTTTGTAGGATGATCTATTTTTTTCCATCAAATTAATTCTCTCTTTTCACGTCTCTTCTTTCTTTCATAAGCATACTCGTATAATGTTCTTTAAATAAATATTTGTCGGATCAGTTATACCTCTTGATGTAAATTTTGAACGATTCCAAAGTATCAAAGATTACTTGTTCTTTACGTAGTTCTTGTTGTAGGCTAGTACCGGGATGATATCACGACGACTTCATCTTCCTTATTTCTTCTTTTTCTTCGCGTTAGGATTGATGTCTTCCGAGCTCTTCCGAATTTTTACAACGCCTCCTACTCTTCAGTGATTTCCGGGTTTTGAAATCTTCTTCGTTCTCTGAAAGTCTTCGCAAAGTCGTGCAACGCTTGAAAGTCTTCTTCTTCTTCTTTAATGTTGCTTTGCCAGCCAGGCCATTTTGGAAGGACACAAATATGAATTTAAATGTGCATTTTGTGTGTATATGTTTATGTGTGTATGAATCGATATTTCTCGCGCCGTCAATTTTCATACGCCCCAATGGATGTTCTTCCTTTCGCTCTATCTTTCCCTCCCCTATCCTTTTCTCTTTTTCAACCGCTTCTTCTTTCGCCGCCATCTCGCCGCCTCTTTGTCTGCAAACAGCGCAGAGGAACCAATGTGAGAATTTATTTGTCCAACACATCTACTCCTCCACTTTCCCTATTCTACCTTTCGATTTTTCCCTTTGAAGGCGTCTTACGCTCTTAATGAATTTCCCGTACTTAACGTGTCTTTTTCATCATTATAGGACACGATCAGCTATATAATTAATTGTTCGAAATCCAATGTATTCTAATAACAATTAAAGTCGTAAAAGCAAATCTTATTTTAATTCGACTACAATTCCTTTTAAATTCGTATTATTTTCCTCGAAGTAAGAATTCCGTACCTGTTTTATTTCAAAATTAATCGGATTCTGGGGGTATACGTACCTAAAGATTGTCCATCATTTCGGAAAGAGTCAGCCTGGAGGTGGACATCGCGACACCGCTGTCGCTACTACTCTGTACGCTACTGTGATCATCGGTGTCCGATTGATTGCTCGTGTAACCGATCACATCCACTTCGTCTGTAACAGAAAACAGAAGTCTCATTTATAATCTGCCATTATCTGAAATCACTTGTATTGTCAAAAATGCTTCTACTATATATATATATATATATATATATATATAGATATATAATAAATTATATTACATTGATATTACTTAGTATATTATAGTATACTAATATAATTTTTGAAGATAGTAATATTTATTAATTAATGACAATAAAAAAGCCTCGATCTTTTTTATTATAGAAAGAATCCGTCTTTCTACTTCCCTATTTTTCGACTATATTTTCTCTTTAAATTCTTTCAATTTGTTCGCTTTGTTTTCAAAGAATATTGCCACATTTTTGCGTCCTATCGTGAGCTATTTCCTAACGAGTCCTTCCCAAAAATGGTCCAAAAATTCGCAGATAAAGGAAAGTACGATTGATTGATTCATCAGATTTGTAGACTCATAGTAGCATGACAATTTTTGGACTTGCGCGAACGTATAAGCATACTACAAATATTGTAGCATTTATTCCTAATTAAGAGCGCTATTTTTCGTGACATAAAAGAAGACACCCTAGGGTGCAACACTCGGGCATGTTGTTTTATGCTAAACTTATTGATTTGTCAGATTTCTACTCAGTAGTATGACAATTTTTGGACTTGCGGGAACAAAGAAGAATACTACAAATAGCATTTCTTCCTAATCAAGAGCGCTATTTTTCGTGACATAAAAGAAGACACCCTAGGGTGCAACACTCGGGCATGTTGTTTTATGCTAAACTTATTGATTTGTCAGATTTCTACTCAGTAGTATGACAATTTTTGGACTTGCGGGAACAAAGAAGAATACTACAAATAGCATTTCTTCCTAATTAAGAGCGCTATTTTTCGTGACATAAAAGAAGACACCCTAGGGTGCAACACTCGGGCATGTTGTTTTATGCTAAACTTATCGATTTGTCAGATTTCTACTCAGCAGTATGACAATTTTTGGACTTGCGGGAACGAAGAAGAATACTACAAATAGCATTTCTTCCTAATTAAGAGCGCTATTTTTCGTGACATAAAAGAAGACACCCTAGAGTGCAACACTCGGGCATGTTGTTTTATGCTAAACTTATCGATTTGTCAGATTTCTACTCAGCAGTATGACAATTTTTGGACTTGCGGGAACGAAGAAGAATACTACAAATAGCATTTCTTCCTAATTAAGAGCGCTATTTTTCGTGACATAAAAGAAGACACCCTAGGGTGCAACACTCGGGCATGTTGTTTTATGCTAAACTTATTGATTTGTCAGATTTCTACTCAGTAGTATGACAATTTTTGGACTTGCGGAAACAAAGAAGAATACTACAAATAGCATTTCTTCCTAATTAAGAGCGCTATTTTTCGTGACATAAAAGAAGACACCCTAAAGTGCAACACTCGAGCATGTTGTTTTATGCTAAACTTATCGATTTGTTAGATTTCTACTCAGCAGTATGACAATTTTTGGACTTGCGGGAACAAAGAAGAATACTACAAATAGCATTTCTTCCTAATCAAGAGCGCTATTTTTCGTGACATAAGAAGACACCCTAGGGTGCAACACTCGGGCATGTGCACGTACCGGCTGATCAACGCTCGCGAGGGATGAGTGCCGGTATTATGACGTTATACCGTCAGATGAAGAGATGATAGACAACAAATGGGTGGAGGAAGGGTTAAGAGAGATTGCGGGGTGTACAGTAGCCATGACACCAGCTGGAAGGCACGGCTCGAAGAAGACGAGGGGGTGTCGACCACACTTGCGAGCCACCCTCCCTCCCCCTTCGCGCCGCTCTGAGCCGGGGGTATTTTTCCATAATCAATAACATGCCTCTATTCTCGTCACACTAAGCGAACCAGATCTGCCCTCGTCACCACCCGCTTCCCTCTGCGTTGTCGACATCGCTAACCTGTCCAGGTGACAGTGGTGCTCAAAACAGTAGCGGAAGAAACAAACAAGTAGAAAAAAATATACATCAAATTAATCGAAGTAGAAAAATCGAATCAATTTTTGTTAAATATATACAAGATGCGAAATTTGTATACAAGGATGTGGAATAAAATAAAAGTATGAAATATAGAATAAATGTTGTGTCTGACGATCGGTTGCGGATATTGATCGGTGAAAACGGATAGAGAGAGAGAAAGAGAAAGGAGTGCGACTTGAGAGGCACTGGTTAAAACGACGGTTTAAGGGTGGCACGAGTGGCGAGCAAAAGAGTTCATTAAAACCAACGTCGTGCGCACCCCTGGCACCCCCAAATTCGTCGTTTCTCATCCCCTCTGACGTGTAAAAAAAAAAATACGCGGGATATTCGTCGATGCTTTCGACTACTTTCTGCAAGCGAATGAATTTCAATTTTCAGAGTGAAGCGAATAAAAATAAGTCGTCGTCCCCGCCGCATTTTCCCTCTCAATTAATCATTCCTCGTTATCATACGGTAATAAACAGCATGGCGCAGTTCTGTTGCGTGTCCGCGCGTTTATCAGGAACGAATGGAAGAAAAGGGGAGGCAAAGAGGAGAGCAGGGGCGAGACGGTTGACGGTAGATAACGATAATATTTGCCACGGCCCCGTGATAATTAACTCTTAGCTCGTTTGAACGTTAATTTTCGCGAAAGTGCATGCGCGCGGACATTTTTCATATGGAAACGATTTAATATTAGATTACGTAAATATATATCAACGTTCGCTCGCGCAAATAAATAAATTTGCATATACAAATTTTAGGCAACTCGTTCGATTTTAAATCACCCCTTTGCACAAAACAATAGAATGGTATCTTCTCGATGTAAGATGGAGTCCGCGCCAGACTGTCTCTCTCTCTCTCTCTTTCTCGATCTTAAATCATCAACTTCCGCCTACACTCGGCGAACGAATTATCTAGTCTATTTATATATGTCGTCGGTCCATGATTAAGTTTCGATTGTATTCCAACCCAGTTACAATAATTTTGTATAACGACGCATCGAAGTATATAATCGGTTAGCGGAATGTTATTTGACAGGTCACGTGACGTAAGCAGTGTAGTGCTTAGATGATTTTCAAATTAGCTAGATAAAGATATGAGATAAAAATATGTAAATTTATCTTACATAAGATGAAGATGATTTTGTTTTGAATATCTAGATAAAAGATAAAATTATATACGATGATTTATCTAGATAATTTTCTGGATAATAATTTTGAAAGTTGCTTATGTAAACACAGTTGTAAAAAAATGTGAATTATAAAAGAGATATAAAAATATAGGTTCATATTTTTATTTATGAATTTTTATCGCTTACTCTCTACTTAAGTTCTACTATTTAAGTATTTTTATGTGCTAAGGTTCTAAACCAAAATTTGAAAATTATTCAAGAAAATATCTTTTTTCGACGTAAGAAATGCGCAATCGAATTGGGGAAAACTTTCGAAGAGAACCTCGCCGAGAAATTCCGAATATCAATATTTCTAACGACTATAAGTACATATGCACCAGTGTTGACAAATAGTTTCACCATTTCTATCTTTTCTCCTTAAACCATTGTGAGTTTAAATATATCGAATGAAAGCTCAAGAGCGTTGAAAATCGATAAATTATTCATTCAATTGAATCATCACTCTGTCCGTCATTTCTCAATCGATAGATTTAAATATATTTCCCAATTTGACTTGAATTCAAATAGATAATTGATTGAAAAAGTGTAAAAAAACAAGAAATTTAAGGTCAGGTAAAAGCTTCGTGTATTTTAATTTCATGAGGCAGAAAGAATTAAGAAGATGTCTAAAAACCATTTGAGAATTAAAAATTAATTATTTCTAAAGAATTCCGTTCATTCATTGACTCTGTAATTCAAATAGAATTTTAAAAAATCAAATATTATACATAATATATTATGATCATTTATTTATACGTTATCTACTTCTTTTCACTTCTTCGCACCCTTGGCCCCATTTTCCTTTTACCTATACATATAGTTATTTCAAGATCATTTCCTTCTAGCATCTTAATATTATGACATTGTTTAAATAAATTAATATAATAATATTTAATAAATATATATGAAAAATAATTAAATAAATTAATAAATGAATTTGTTACCAAAAAAGCTTTTTTACTTTGACTACGCGATTCGAATTCAAATTAAGAGATTTGTTCTTTGTAACTTGCACTTTTTATTTTTCTCTCTTTCTGACTGTAAAATATATATTTATTTATTTTTTGTTATTCTAGTTCAGCTTTAAAAAAATAAACCTTATGTCTCAGCCTTGGTGGATGTAACGTTATAACGTCAGGATGGCCGAGCGGTCTAAGGCGCTGCGTTCAGGTCGCAGTCCACTTCTGTGGGCGTGGGTTCGAATCCCACTTCTGACAAGATTTCTTTTTTATTTTGAGATTCAAGTAACGTGCCAATTATTTATTTTAGAGAATTGATATTTAAATGAACGAAAAGACGTAATTATGTTGGTAAAGAAAATTAATAAATGATTTTCGACACGTTACATATGGCTATTTTTAGTTCTTAGCATGTTACATGAGCGAAATTCGTTATTAATATCCAGAGAAAATCATAAGAAAAATGTTATTATGTTTCGTATAGTTTATCTAAGCTTAATAATTTCATAATATTAAAATGCTAGAAGAAAATCGTTTTTGAAATCATTATATGTGTGTGAAGAGAAAAGGGAAGACTGACCCTCACTTAACTATAACGCATTATCTCTCTTTCTCGACACCCTCCCTCCTTTTCTCTCTGACAATGAGTTCATAAATGTCAACTGGCATGGTGAAGATATCTCGTAATGGCCGGACGATTACCTTATAATTATGACGTCTAGACGTACGATGCGCCATGTATGTCAACAGCATAATATCGTATAATATCGGTGTAAGAAGGACACGGAGAAGCAATGCATTTTTCTTAGCTGACCGAACGCGTTGCGAAAGTATTTAACAATGAAAATGAACGCCGCTATTACGAACGAGGCGGAGAAGCGCGGAAAATTCAGGGGTGGCTTTCGAAAAATCGCCAGCGTGGCACACGTGACTTATGATAAGTGCTTCGCCGAGGATATTCCCGCGGGATCATCAATTTCAACGTCCATCCCTCCGATTTCCTTCACCTTTCCCGCCAGCTCGACCTCCTTTTTCTCCGACTCGACTCCTTTGGAAAACCCAATCCGCATTCTGCAATATTTCATGCGGTAGCGAATGCATTTTTACGACGCACGTCCTGAGACACCATAATGGTGCACAGACAATAACTTCAATTTTTGAAGCTTTATCCAAGAATATAATTATATTATCTCAAACTGTCAGACGCGCGATAACAAATCGCGAATTAATGCAAAAGAATAAATGTTCGCGAATGAATCAATAATCGAGATATTTAGCAAATTAATTAATTCGATGGAAAATATATTACGTTAAATTAAAATGTTGGAAAAAATGAAAAAAAGTTGATGAAAATTCGGGTCATATCACAGTGGCTGCGTTCAGCAGAAAAAGCTGTTTTACAACTGTTGTAAAATTCGTGAATCTGATTGGCTCTTAGATTCAGCTAAGATCAAGAACATCAATCCTTTTTGCCAATATGATCATCATATAATTAGTGAACCCACTTAAAAAAATAAGGCCCATCCTTTGACCCACCCTAAATTATACTGCCCTACTCTGTCCAAATTACATATATATTAATAATATAATATATTATATAATATAAATAAATAATTTGGCCCACAAAACCTATAAAACGCTGGTGCACCTGTGACCCACCTTCATAAATAGTTCTGTCGCCTATGATGATCATTTTTTCGAAATGAAAGATCGCATAAGCTTACTATATTCGAAAAATCGCTCGTACATCAGAATGATATAATAGCGTGAGATTGTGTACATATGTGTAGTGTACATACATAAGTAACGTGTTATGTGCACGGCTGCACGCCATGATTAAACAATGACGCTTCGGGAAATTAAATAGATCCACTCGCATTTAACTTTACGACGTAGATAGAGCAACCGACGTGGGCTTCTATCGCGCAGCTTTCCGTCTTAATTCCGACTCTGGACGATTAAGATTTAATCGGCTGACCAGAGAGAGAAGATAACGTTGCTGACGAAAATCCTCGGATACTTGTTGGATACTTGAAAGCTTTGCCTTCAAGAACGCGATAAGTTACACGGAAAGGATTTTAATTTGAGGAAACAATTGGAAAAAAAAATAAAAAAATCATTTTGGACAATCAATGAGTTCTCTTTGATTTCTTACTTTATTCTCATCAAAAATCACAATTATATTAAATTGGTATAAAATACCAGAGGATTTGGAAAAATTTGATTTTCAGAACTCTCGAAATCTCTTCCGAAACTTATTTATTTATTAGAATGTTTTTATTTGTAACACGCTTGTCAAAACGCTTGTGGATTTTCAGAGTAGATAATAATCTTGTTAGAAGATTATGAAATTAATATTGTTCTACGACAAGTACAATATTTTAATACAAAAACATTCGTAGGAAAAAATTCGTTCAAGAGGTACCACCGAAAGACGATATTTTTGTAAAAATCTGGGATTTTTCTAAATAGAAAAAACAATTTTTTACACAACATGTACAATGTGATCTGGCACTCACCGGACTCCGAGACGGATGGACTGCCCGCAGACCTATCGGAGTTTATGGAGCTCCCGGTGGAGCTGGTGGATGCCGTGCCGAGGGAGCACTCGGAGATGCTGCGCCGCTTAGACAGCATCGCCGCGGATGCAGCAGCGGCGGCGGCGGCGGCCGCTGCGGTGGCTGAGCCGGTCGGCGCGCTCGTGCTGAGCCCGTGGAGGCCGTGAAGCGCGTGAAGGCCGTGGAGGCCGGTCTGGCTCGTCAGCTGCTCGAGCCGTCGTCTCAAGAACCTGTGCTCGCGCGACAGCTGTTCCTTGTGTATGATGTGCTTCCGATCGCGTTCCTCTAGATTCTGCAATACGACGTATCACGATATACAGGGTGTCCGGTCGTTCGCGTTTCGCCTCTCCTAGACTGGCTCATCGAACCGAGTAGAGACCAGAGCGATTTTCCTAATAATTAATGAGAAATTAATTAAAAAATATATACTGATATTTTTTAATTAATCAAATCGCAAAATGGTAGAGGACTTTTCGATTCGATTTGACCCACTCTATCCGCTCACGAGGGATGAAATGTAAACGACCGGACACCTTGTATATGCATATAGAATATATGTATGTTTTCATACACATACACACAATACAAAAGATTTATTAGATTTTGTTCCATATGTCCGATTTTGTAATGTAAAGTTAAAACTTTCTCTGTCAATAAAAATCTTTTGTTGCAACAGTCGCTATAAAAAAGTTAAATTTAGAGATAAAGCCTCACAGTAAGGATTAAAGGTTGAAACGGATCCGCGTCAAATTGTTAGAAATGCGTAGAACGGTTCTCTTGTTTTTGACTAATAAAGTGAAGTTTAAAAAATATTGTTTCTTTAATTAAAAACATTTTTTATAAAACATTTAAAGAAATACAAAAAAGCACGCGAAAATTACGTTTAATCATACTGAAAAAAATACATTCTTAATCAATTAAATCGACGAACAAAATCATGACACAGAAAGTACATAAAAGGTTTACATTCCAAAATCGAACATTATATATGGAACAATCCAACATTGATTTTTATTAGAAACATTATTAAAGAATTAATTTTATTAGAGATTTTATTAATACAGTTACGATATATGTATATAGTAATAATAATTATAGCTATAGGAGACTATTCGCGGTCATTTACATGCTTTCATTTGTGTTGTTTTATTTTGATCATATGTTAAAAAATGTAAATCTATTCATTAACTTTTAATTTGTTCATTCAGTTGTCATAAAATATATATAAATCTCTTCGTTCTCTTTGTCCTGGCTGATGTTGGCCGATTATCAGTTTCCTTTCTATTGTACACATCACGCCATTTCGTAACGCAACAATGAGTGCTTACCTAGAAGAGGTTGGTCAATTCCGGTGCAAATTACTGAACGGGAAATAATATAGAGTACTAATATATACATACTACTGCGCAGTATATATTATATATGGAGATGCGTAGATTTTTAAATGCGTAATTATAAGACTTTTCGAAAGTTCACGAAATGTAAGATCTTGAAAATCTTGCACTCTTGAGAGAAATTTCAGTTTCCAGATTTTTCAAAATTCGAGACTTTGAGATGAAAAAATTGTTTAATCCGACTGTCGCGGAATTTGATAATCGTGACAGCATTGAAATGTTATTGATTAGTCCCAAGCAAATTTATGCAAGTTACGACGAATATAGATCGTTTCGAGATTATTATCGGTCTTGTGTGTTCTCGCACTGCGAACTTGGTAAGACAGCAGCTAGAAATCAATGACGATCCGAGCGTGGGGGATGGATGGCACTAGGGTGGAAGTAGCAGGTGACGGAATCACCTGATCGCAGATAACAGTTCCGCACGATAGGCGAAATGTGTGTCTGCGTGTGTGTTTATGCCGACGTGGCTGGTACCACGCTCGTAGGAAAGTTCCTGGCTTCGTGCTCGATTTCCATTCGGCTCGATATGAATTTACAACGTAGATAAAACGAGGTTAAGGCGAGGGTGAGACAGGGCGAGCCTCTTTGCAAAAACCAAATCGACCGATCTTAGAAGTGAGACTCGGCCCTCTCATTTCTAGCGCTTTCGTTGTTGCGATTGTGATATAATCGGCATTAAATTCGTCATCACGTAATTAATAAGGAGTATATTCAATTTCGTTACAAAGTTGAAAACAACATTTTTTTTTATACATATAACAGGGTGTCCAGCAGACTCGATGAAAATAATTTCTTGATTTTTTCAGATTTTCCAAGACCAGAAATTAATTTTTTCCTTGACTCTTTAGTATTATTTTTTTCCAAATATATCTATATGATAAATCAATTAAATGTTAAATCACGAAATTCTTAAGTTATTTTGGTCAACAATGAAAAGGTTCGGAATTTAAAAAAACAAAATCAATTATACAATCTGGATTATGTATGATAATCGAAACAAACATGTCACTATAAACTATTTAAATAATCCCCTTTTTTATTTATATTATATCAAATTTTTTAGTTTTATCTCTATTAAACACATCGAAATAAAATAACACGATGATGAAAATATAAATTGACAAACACGCTGTAGATGAATCAATTTTAACAACACAGAAAATTAAATTGCTGGGAGTCAAGAAAAAGTTTATATTTATTTAATAAAAAATTTCAAATTATTGAGACAAATGTAGAAAAATATGAAAAAATCCAGATAAATAAAATTTTCTGACTTTTCCCTGACAATTCCAGATTTATAAAATTCCCTAACAATGCCCGGTTTTCCAGATTTTCCTGACCACTAAACACCCTGATATAAATAATAAAAAAATACCATATAGTAGGATATTTAAAAAAATTATAAATTTCTCTGAGTCTTGATAAAAATGTTATGTCAAGGGATGAATAGAGGGATAGTAAAAAAGAAAAAGATGAGAGCGCGAAATAATTAGCCACAAAGATGGCGACGAAGATGTCTCATCGAGAGTGTGAAAAAGATCGCGAGGATAGGGCGAAAAACAAGAGAGAAGTTCAGGGAGGCGGACAAATGAAGAATTACATGTCACCAACTGCGCAAAATACAAGTCCGTTTCGCTCTTCTACTCATCCTTCCACCCTCGTTTCGCCCCTTTCTCAGAGCTTTACTTTCTCGTGGGGATGTATAAGCTACCCTTACAGAAACGACTCTTTCGAGTCTCCCAATTCCTCTTCCCCCTGTCTTCTTAGCTTCCATTTTTCCTCTTTTAACTTACTTCCTTCGTCTCCTTTCTCTCATCTTCCCTCTTTATTTCGTCGAGCAAAATTTTTTCGCTCCTGTCATAATTACTCTATTACTGTCTCTAAATCTTTGCGTGATGGATTTTGAAAATTTAATTTTACGAAATATTCTTACAAACGTCTTCTCATCAAAATTCGATGTTTTTGTGTTAAAATAATTGTGGTGCTAAAAATATGATGACAATATATTTCTGGTGCGCAATATCTATCGGTAGTATCTTACGGATGCACTTAAACCGCGCGTAGTAAGTTTTCTCCTCAAATGGCGGACTGGCGAACATTTTTCTAATGTATCTAACGCAGGCATATAATGTATGTACATAGGTACCCGCGGGTCAGATTGATGTACACGCCGAGTCTCCCACGCGGACTATGCATGCACGAATGAACGGTGGATACGCACTGCTGCTCGCCATTCTACAAGGTGTTGCGAATGCACAAGTGCGCAAATCCTCTAACAGATGATCGAGAAATTACATCAGCATGTAAAAAGCGCCTTTTCATGCGATAAATTATTATAAAATCATTTTTTTTAATATTTATCTCTTATATTAATCGAATTTATTTTTATTGAAATTATGTAATATTAATAAATAATTTTCATATCTAAAATATATGTTTTATTATCAACATTTCTTTTCAGTTAGCCTTAACACTTTTTTCTCTCTCTCTCTCTCTGAAAATAATAATTCGTATCTAAAAATATTTCAGATATTTTTCATTATCAAGCAAAGAAGAAATTTAAAATATCTCGAAAAAGAAAAAACAATTTCAGATAAAAAGCGAGGAGGAAGTCATATTATCACGTTAAGTACACTTTGAGAATTCATAAACGGAATGTGTATATCTACATATATATACGTACAGTGTGAATAAACGAACAAATAAGTGTATATTTTAAGTACTGTTTACAAAGACGATTGCTTCAGCAGCCTCGTCACCTATTAGAATCCGTGCACATACTTTTATCCGCGTCACCCTGTAGACTCCGCGGAAAACACCGACGTGTGCACACGCATTCACACATGCAGTACGCACGCCATTGTCCCTGGCAGTCTGTAATTTACTAACTACGCATCCATTGTGTGCGTCGCCACTCCGTTTGCTGCAACACCTTCTTGCTCTGCCTTTCTTTATACCGCATGGTCCCATTTGTTCCTCCCAAACTTTATTCCAACTGAGAAACAATAAGTTTCGAATGCGCCACCGATCACATCTCGCCCGTTATATCTCGAATCCCTAACTTTTGTCATTTTTCATCTAATTTTTTCAGAATGATAATTTTTTATCCTTACTATGTATGACATTATCGCAAGACAAATTCTGAATACCAGTCTTTAAGGTGATCGCTAGTTGTCGAAGGTAAAAGAATGATCTGTCTCTTCTGAGACTTTTAATTTTCTGCGACCTGTTTTCAATCTTTTATCAAGTCTACCTTGATAAAATCAGTCGGACTCACCTTGATAAAACGCTTGGCCTTGGTCAAAAGGCCCAACGTGGTATGCCTCGAAGTTTCCGGCCCAAGTGGTACCAGCAGCTTCAACTTCTCGAGACAAGTCCTAAGGTGAGCTCTCCTGCAACAGACAAAAATTCGTTACAATTGTCACATTGTTACCATTAAAACTATATTAGTAACGTTAACATTGAAATCAGACGACATTTTTGTACGCGTTTTGTATTATCAAAAAAATCTGAAAAATCGCGATTAAGGCGTTAAGAAGTTTTGTCGTAAAATAATGTTTTAATCAGCCAGAAATGATGCCTACTTTCGTAAAGATTACGCGTAAGCTGCATGCGCCTATTAGCGACGTTTAATTATAAATTTATGACCGGTTTATAGCTACCATCCTAGAAAATAGAGACCGAGATGACGGAAGAATGAAAGCACGGAAGTTTCTTATTAAAGTAAACTCACAAAAAAAAGAGAAAAAAGAGAAAAAAAAGAAATTGGAAAAATAATAGAAGGAAACTCGAAAACTGCAAATGTTTATAATATTAAATTGCGCAAGATTTCTTGTCATGTTTTTTCTACATTTTCTGTCAAACAAAGTTAATACGACCTAAGTATCGATTAAAAAGTTTGTTCGAAATGCAAAACGTGTATTAAGAGATTCAATGTTAATTTAATTATATTTGACAGATGTATAATATATTTTTAAAGCATCCATATAATCTAATATTACATATATTTAACAATTTTTGCAATTATTAAAAATATCTTCATATTCTATCCTTTAACATCGTTAACTATATTCTTTACAATTTTAATCTCAATATAAAATTTTAAATAACTGTGTTATAAATAATTTTGTAATCTCGATTTAAAGAAATGTAAAATTTAAGACGATTTAAAAGTTCTTCGAAAATAAACTGTCGCTTTTTAATTCTTTTGCATTAAAAATATCCTGTTGGGAAGAATATCTTCTGATGACACGTGTGAATAAAACTTAATTAAGAAAATCATTCGAAGAAAGAAAGAAATGGTGCGTTTTGTACGTATATTTTACGAGAAACAATAAGTCGGTTCTAATGACGTCATCAAACGGTATTATATCCTGCAAACGTAGACACATTCCTATCCACGTGTCCCTATGTCTATGTCTTTCTGTCTAGGCATATACTCGACATATATATTCATAAGTTATCCCGGAAACATCGAATGTCTTCTCACTCAAGGCACGAATGACTTTCTTCATTGAGAATATAAAGGCAAATCGTACATGCTTTTTTAATCAATAATATTAAGTATCTTTATAATTAAATAAATATATATATATATAAATATATATATTTAATTATACTATATACAGTGTTTCTTAAACATATGTCAAACATTCAAGGAATGATTCCTTGGCTCATTTCATGAAAAGTACCTCTGACGATTTTTCGAAAATCACTTCGTTTCAAAGATACAGAGCGATAATTTACAAGAAATACAATATTTTAAATACGATATTTTTTTATTTATGTTAACAACCAATGATAACAAAATTGATACATTCTGGCATCATATTATATCATATCGCCTTGCATTTTCGAAACGCAATTTTCGAAAAATTATCAGAGGTAGAAATTTTCATATAAAATAACCCAAGGAATCACCCTTGAATTTTTGACATATGTTTAAGAAGCATCCTGTATACATAAATCCCAAGTAAAAATCTTCAGTGACACTAGTCAGTCCATATTTTTATTCTCTAAATTATAAAATTTTTAAACCAAAAACGTTGCTGAAAAGCAATATCTTCTTGCATAAATCGTTTGGCAGGATACTACAGAAGCTTCCTCATCGTTCCTGATCGCTGGCAACATTTTTGCGGTGGCAGGAAATTAACGGCAAGCAAGGATGGGAGAAGGTGAAGGGGAAAGGTGATCCTTCAATCAATGGCACAGCCGCGTGACAGCGGCATTATAAAATTCTTGTAACGGCTTGTGTACCAGGGGTAACGCTGATGAATAAATACTTGGCGCGGAATTCCCGCGTTAGAGTCGTTGAATTTACTTCGGCAAGTGGTTAGGAAAGCGGAGAATGCGTATCAGGAGGGAATTGCCCTCAAAGGGCAGAATGCCTTGGGGTGCAACGTGCGCGCAAGCGAAGTAACAGTTGAGTATTAATTCGCCAGCGAGAACACGTATACAAAACAATCTCCGTCCCATTTTATTCTGTTCAGCAAGCTGAAGAAATGTTTTCTGAGCTGCTGCACCCGCTATTGCTCCCGTATTTGGCGACCGTGAAATAAATAAAACCTTTTTTTTTTTTTTTTTTTTTAAATTAATATCGACGAATGGAATTTGAAAATTGAAGCAACTTTTGATTTTTCGGGCTGTTCAGATTCAATGAAAAAATTGCCTGACTTTTTCAGATTTTCCAAGACCAGAAATTAATTTTTTCCCTGAATTTTGGTATTATTTTTTCCAAATATATAATTTGCATATATCTATATGATAATTCAATTAAATGTTAAATCATAAAATCCTTGAGATATTTTTGTCAACAATAAAAAGATTCGGAAGTTAAAAAAATAAAAATTTAAATCAATTATACAATCTGCATTATGTACGATAATCGAAACAAACATGTCACTATAAACTATTTAAACAATCATCTTTTTTATTTATATTATATCAAATTTTTTAGTTTTGTCTCTATCAAACACATTGAAACAAAATAACACGATGATGAACATAATTAACAAACACGCTGTAGATGAATCGATTTTTAACAACAGAAAATTAACGTGCTGGGAGTGAAGGAAAGGTTTATATTTGTTTAATAAAAAATTTCAAATTATCGAGACAAATGTAGAATGTGAAAAAAATCCAGATAAATAGTAAAATTTCCTGAATTTTTTCCCTGACAATTCCAAATTTATAAAATTCCCTGGCAATGCTCGGTTTTCCAGATTTCCCTGGACACCCTGTAAATTAATCGACGACTTGGAATTGAAAACTTCAAGTAACTTTTGATTTTTGTTCTCGAATTACAAAATTGAAGCTACATTTGAGACGACCTGTACAAAGCATGAAAATAACGTCGCAAGTGCGTAGCCAAGCCTGGCGGGAGCAATGGCCGACCATGAGTTAGATCGCTTTAACAGCCGCCTGTAAACAGCCTCGTAATTTTATTTCTACCCTCGCTCCGATATTTTCTCTGTCTCTCCTTCTGCGACACCCCATCACTATTGCTGTATCATCACCCCCTGTTGCACATTTGCCATTCGTCCTTGTCTTCACTCCTTTGACCTTTTTCTTTTACTTTATTTTTATTTGTATTGGTCTCCCTTCGGGCTTACACAATTAATTATTATTAATGGTACAACTTGGTAATTATATTCATCACGTCTATGTGTGATAGGGATTATATATGTATTATTAGTTCCTACGTAATATTATTTATTGCCACATTAAACTGTGAAAGGGATAGCTGTGAAAGGGTAGTATTCTGAGAATCTTAGAGTAGATAATCAACTAACCTTCATTAGTTTAGCAACTATTAATCAAATTATAATTTATTGCACACATAGAATAATAATTAATTTTTAGTAACTAATTACTGAGCTATTAGGTAATTAATATTAAAGTTGTAAGCAGTAATATTTTGTCTATTTACACTTGTATTTGAAATAAAAATATCTATCAAGGATTCTAAATGAAGCAGATTTTAATTAATAGTTATTGTCCGTTAAGATATCTCAAAACACATTCAATTAACAACAATATAGATATAAAAAAATTTTTGGAGTATGCTCTTCAAATAAACTTAAAAAATAATAAAACTTTTCACATAAGTGTATAAGAATAAATAATAAAAAAATAAATCATTTGCTATATTGCTAACTGAATGGATGAATATTAAAATATATTTTATCTTTGAAATGAATATCAATCAGTTAATTCCAGTCAAAATTTTTGATTAATTATGGACTGGTGTAATTTTTTCAACCCTGCAAACTTTTCTCATACTTTCATCAAAATTATAATACCCTTGATTAATCGAGCATTCAACGAAGTTGAGTGAAGCGATGCAGCCGTTCGAGCAAGACGAGCTTTCGTTTGAGGGGTGATTCGGGATAGTTTAGCAATTCATTAGGACGGACACTCGAGAGTCGAGACTTAGGCGAACTTGGACTTCCTTCAACTGGCGTCCATTCTATAGAGAGGTTGAACAGAGAACGCGCATGCACGAGAGAGAAAGAGGAAGATGGTCGAGGCATTACTGCAAAATACCGTTTGTAGACACAAGCGAAATGGGTCTGGCTTAATTAAACTGTATGCAGCTTCCTAAAACGGGATTCCATTTAAAGTCAAGCTTTAAACCTCGGATCTCCGCAAGTTTCTTTTCGCGAGATTTTCCCTCGTTTCCCATCTCACCTTTGACTCACAGTTAATAGCGCAAAATGTTATAATAACCATTCGAGATGCGATGTGAAACAGATGTTCACGTAACTAAAAATAGTTCAAATTTCTGCGTCACGATGTTCTCGCGTGTTTAATTTGTCACGTGAAGTCGTAGCGATCCCAGCGCATTTGAATACAATATATTAAAAATATACTAAATATAACACTGTTTACGTCAGATTCAGTTTACATTTAAAAAATTCTAAAATAAATGTCTTTTGACAAATGATCTCTTACAATAATGCTTAATTTTTGAAAAACTTTGGCGACTTTTCAAGACTTTACAGAAGAGTAAAGAAAATGTAGGGAGGAGGAATAGTAAATCTATGACATGAAAATCGAATATATTGCATTGCAGATATAAAATTCATATTTAAAAAAATGATACAGTAACATAAAAAAAATGAATATCAATATGTGAGATTGAAGTACGGCTGAGAGACTCTATAACTGCGATTATATTTGAAACACCCGTTATAATTGAACGCGCATTCATATGGGTATTCATCGGCACGTGTAAACGCAGCACTGTATGTAATACTGGTTTCGCTTAATTAAGGTGCGTCTGCTGTGCCGAAATCTTTAGCGAGTGACAAAGGCGAGTCCGCACGTGCCTTCATTAAGACTCCCCAATTCGGAGTAGCGATCCCTGACTAGCTCAACCATGTACCTAAAG